AAAGAGTGGGGCCCGGAGTGGGGTGCAGGATCCCCACCCAGCAGTTGCTGAACCTTCCCCATGTCCTGTGCTCATCCACAGCGAATACAACCGCATTCAATGCTTCAGCCACGTCGCCACCAAACACCAACACTTCTCTGGTAAGTCCTTTCTTCATGTCAGACATTCTAGGGCTTATGTTTGTGGGGAGATTGAGAAGATTTGGGAAACTTAGACCAGACCTGCAGAGATTAACCCTGCTGCACACCCACACCAGGGTCATCCGCAGAGCTGTGAAAATGAATATTTTTATTTTAAGTATATACTGTCAAAATCCTATTTTGTCTCACTTTATTAAATCCTTGTGCACAAACCTCCCCTTCCTCCCTCCCTCACACACACACACACACACACACACACACACACACACACGACGGGGGGGTTGGGGGGGTGGGGTTGAGGTGAGGAATGGTAAGTAGGACTGTGCAAGGCTGTAAACTTTCCCGCCCCATCTTTCTACCTTCTTCCCTGCCTTTGTACCGAGGACTCCCAGTTCCTAACCAACAATGCTACCCTCCAGCCCCAGAAAGCTTATTATTGCTCCCCCCCCTCTCTGAATCTGATCTGTCCTTTGCACTCATGTGTCTCCGAGGGCCCCTGGTCTGGTCTGCCTTTCCCAATAATGCTGAGCAGTGGCCATCAGGAGAAGACACCTAGCCTAAGTGACACTAACGGTGGGAAGTAGAAAACCAGGTGAAGGGTAGCACCTGGTAGGTACTGGGAGGAGACTTTTGGACTTTTAGTGTCCCTAAGCTTGCCTCTTAAGTTACCCCTGCATAGGCAGCTGACTGCTCAATGGCAATTTAACCTAAGATTTTCTCAAATATCTGATTTTGAGGGAGGAAAAATGGAATCAGTCAGTGCCTATGTATGAATACTTACTATGTGTAAGGCGCTGTGTGCGGGTGATGTGATGGTTCGAAAAACATCTAAGAAACAAATGTGGTCCTTGCCCTCCAACCTGCTTGTAATATGCATGTGGAGATTAACCTGAAAAAGTAACGGGCCAGCACAAGTAGAGCGTGCCACGCGTCAAATATAGGTCAAATGCATCCTTCCAGCAGTGGAGGCAGGACGCACTCTGCAAACTAGAGAAGAAAGCCTCATAGAGAAAGTAGAATGTGATCTGGTCTTGAAGGTTGGGAAAGTTGGTTCCATAGAGAACAGCACATTCCAAGCCTAGGGACCAGCATAGACAGAAGGGCACAAGAGGAAAAGCACAAAATCTGTCCTGAGGACAGTGGGTGGACCAGTCCTGCTGAGACAGATTGAGGGTGGGGCATCACACAGGGAAATCAGGAGAAATAAGTCAAGACAGAGATGTTGGGCCAGACCAGTGGGGCAGTAGAGGCACGGCTACATTGCGGGGAGCATTCCCATTGTCTTGGTCTGTTGATCCCCATTCTATTGGTTTATTGATCTAAGCAGGCCCAGGGCCAGCTCAGATTCAAAGGGAAATCACCTTTTGATGGGAGGACCGTTGATGTCACATCACAAAGGAGTGTGGACACAGGGAGCCATGATCCATTGGGGGCTGTTATTATATCAAACTAGCACACTTCTCTTAATACAAACATACATTATGGCTAGTTGCAAACATCTGTTTACTTCATTATGTAGGTTCCTGAATATTTGCACATTTATTTTTCAAAATATAAATTAAATTTTATTATACATTACTCTCCTTCTATTACACTTAGAAACATATATATTAATATACATGTGTGAATATAGATATATGAATATATGTACCTATACATACTTAGGAACATAAATAAGTATATAGGAATGTGTATTATATATATATATATATATATATATATAAAATTGTTTTGTGTGCCCTGGATTTTAGGCATCTGGGACACCAAAGGTCAAGTGACTGAAGTGATTAACCCAAGAGAGGTCTGACAAGGGTGGGGTGTGAGCCCCTTTCCTTCTTCTATGCACACAAAAAGTGTGTGCATAGAAGAAGGAAAGGGGAGGATAAATGTGAGACACTCCAGGAAGGAGTTGTGGACAGGACCCATGGTTGATTGACTGAGATGGGAGCCAGTCCTGCACTTTTCCTCCTCACTCACAAAGCAGTACATCCTAGAACACAATGAAGAAGCACACGTCAGCTCCTAACCTTCCCGGGGAACCTCCTGCTTGTCATTCCTTGAAACAGCTTGCCCCCAGGACCATCACTCTGTTGCTGGGCACTATCATGGGGCAGGAGGGCTGGGGCCCCTTGGAGGGTGGGAGGGGTGCGTGGGCTGCCTGGAAACTGCAGTGGGGAGGAAACAGCTGACCTCCCAGGAAGACCCTGACTGTTTCTCTCCTGTCTTGGTCTACAAGTACAACCCCCTTAACCTCACAGCGTTGGACTGGTCACTGCTGAGCAAAAAGGAGTGTTTGAACTATGGTGGGCGCCTACTTGGGAATTCCTGCCAGTTCATCCCAGACTTGGCACTCATGTCCTTCATCCTTTTCTTCGGGACATACTCCATGACCCTGACCCTGAAGAAGTTCAAATTCAGCCGCTATTTCCCTACCAAGGTAACTTCACCCTACAGTCAGACAGTTCACATGGAAGCCACCACTGAGTCCCTGAGAGGGTTCTGGTCCAACTGTTGGAATGGACACCACATCAGCACTTGCTCACTGAGGTTTTTTCAAGTTAAGAACACAGACTTTGGATCAGAGAGAACTGGGTTCCCTTGTTGTCAAGCCCCATGACAACACTTGATATTGTCAGACTTTTATCTTTAGCCTAGTAGTATATTGTGGGTTTTTTCCTTTTATTTCCCCAATGACTAATGAAGTTGAAAATCTTATCATGTGTTTAATGGACATATGACCATCGACTTTCTTTTTTTTTATATACTGAGCTGTAATTTTAAAAGAAGTGACTTATAAAGAAGTCACTGTTATCTTTTTTTTAAGATCTTTATTGGAGTATAATTGCTTTACAATAGTGTGTTAATTTCTGCTTTATAACAAAGTGAATCAGCTATACATACACATATGTCCCCATATCTCTTCCCTCTTGCGTCTCCCTCCCTCCCACCCTCCCTAGCCCACCCCTCTAGGTGGTCACAAAGCACCGAGCTGATCTCCCTGTGTTATGCAGCTGCTTCCCATTAGCTATCGATTTTACATTTGGTAGTGTATATATGTCCATGCCACTCTCTCACTTCCCCTTCTTCATGTCCTCAAGTCCATTCTCTAGTAGGTCTGCATCTTTATTCCTGTCCTGCCCCTAGGTTTTTCATGACCATTTCTTTTTTTTTTATATTCCATATATATGTTAGCATACAGTATTTGTTTTTCTCTTTCTGACTTCACTCTGTATGACAGACTCTAGATGACCATTGACTTTCTTCTTGTAAGAGCCTGTTTAAATCTCTTGCACATTTTCATCTGGGTTGTCTGTCTTTTTCTTTCCAATTTGCAACTCTTTATATATTCTGGATAGAAACATTTTTGTGATCATATGTGTTGTAAATATCTTCTGCTCTATGACTGACCTTTTTAACTTTCTTAATGGTATCTTTTGATTAATAGAAATTCTTAGCTTCACTGTAATCAAATATATCCAATTTTTCCTCAAGGAAAATATTGGATAGAAGATATTCTCCTATGGTATCTTCTAAAAGCTTCATTGTTTTTCCTTTCATGTTAAATCTATAGTCTACCAGAATTGCTTTTAACATATAGTGTGAGAGAGTGTTTGTTTTTTATTTAGATAGCCAATTGTTCCAGCACTTTAAATTTTTATTTTATTTTTACAAACTAAAGAGGAAATTTTATTTACTTAGGTAACATTGGTTTATAACATTATATAAGTTTCATGTGTACATTATGTTTATACTTGGTTTTTTTTTACATCTTTATTGGAGTATAATTGCTTTACAATGTTGTGTTAGTTTCTGCTGTACAACAAAGTGAATCAGCTATATCCATACATATATCCTCTCCCTCTTGAGCCTCCTACCCACCCTCCCTATCCTACCATCTAGGTCATCACAAAGCACTGAGCTGATCTCCCTGCCAGCACTATTTTTTTTTTAAAAGACCATCCTTTTCCCACTACTCTGCAGTTCTTCCCTTGCCATATATCAAATGTTCACATGTGATGGGATCTGTTTCAAGGTTCTTTATTCTGTTTCGCTGATTTATTTGTATGCCAATATCACAGTCTTCATTTCTAAAACTGATAATAAGTCTGTATATCTTACAGACCAAATTTTCCCTCTTTGTCCTGCTTTTTCAATAATGCCTTGGCCCTTTGTATTTCCACATAAATTTTAGAATCTTAAATTTCACCAAAATAAAAACTTATTGGAATTTTGATAGAATTATATTGACTCTAAATGTCAATTTGGGGAGAATTTACACCTCTCAAATTCTGAGTCTTCTAATCCTTGAATATGGTATACCTTGCCATTTATTAAGGTCTTTTATTTATTTATTTTATTTATTTATCTTTGGCTGCGTTGCATCTTCGTCGCTGCACACGGCTTTCTCTAGTTGTGGCGAGCGGGAGCTACTCTTCATTGCTGTGCGAGGGCTTCTCATTGCGGTGGCTTCTCTTGTTGCGGAGCATGGGCTCTAGGCGCACGGGCTTCAGTATTTGTGGTGCACGGGCTCAGTAGTTGTGGCTCGTGGGCTCTAGAGCGCAGGCTCAGTAATTGTGGCGCACGGGCATAGTTGCTCTACAGCCATGTGGGATCTTCCTGAACCAGGGCTCGAACCCGTGTCCCCTGCATTGGCAGGCGAGTTCTTAACCACTGTGCCACCAGAGAAGTCCCTATTAAGGTCTTTTTTTTTTCTCTCCATAATATTTTGTAGGTTTTGATCTTGAGGTCTTGCACATTTTTTATTAGATTTATTCCTAGGTACTTGATTTTATTTTTTTTTACCTATTGTAAATGCTAACTGCTATTTTAATTTCATTTTCTAACTGTTGTGGCTAGAATAAAGAATTTATTAATCAAAACAGCACTTGCATATGTGAGCAACAGTTATGAAACGAGAAGGGGCACTGGGAAGATTTTTAGCAATGCTCTTCTAACAGAAACCACATGAGTGAGCACTCTTCTAAAGCCATCTTAAATAAATTTTCTACTACTACTACTACCAATAATAATAGTGATGATGATGAAAAATATCTTTGATATGAATAATTGAATTTTTGCCAATATTTTGTAAAGACTAAATAAAAGACTTTGGGGGAAGATTTACAAAATACAAACTGAGCAAAAAATAGTGTACTTGCAACACGAATGCATCCTCAAGACAAATTCCCTCCCTTCCTTCCAACTTCCAACCAGATCATATCCCTAAGTTGCCTTTTGTATAAAAATTCCAGAGCAGTGACTGCATCTGAGAATATCTATTGCCTGAAGGATGAAATAAAATTCATGTTAGTGGCACATTCTTTTATCACCACCTTTTTTTCCCGTCAAATTAATACTTACAAAGTGCCATGTTGCCACCTGGAATTTAGTGTTGCAGAGAAGAATGAGATCATACCATTTCACAGCCATCAGTTTGGTACAAACACAAAGGTCTTGGAAAACCAAGTATTAGAAATGAAAAGTGATCGGTGGGAGTGTCACTAGGTTCATCCAACTTAGAGAGTGACTGGCACTCTATGAGAGAGTTGAAGATGGGTCTTCTGACTCTGGAGCTCAAACTCTCAGCAGCTCTCCTCTTCACTACTGGAGGACGGGGTCTCCCTGAAGTGGGCAGGAGCTTCTCTGACTTGCTCATCTCTTTTCTGCAGGTTCGGGCCCTAGTAGCTGACTTTTCCATCATTTTCTCCATCCTGCTGTTCTGTGGAATTGATGCCTGTTTTGGCCTGGCAACCCCCAAGCTGCTCGTGCCCAGTGTCATCAAGGTTTGCGTAAGGCCCCTGCTCTGTGCATTCTCTCCGCCTGCCCACCAGCTGCAGATCCTTTCCCCGCTATGCTGATCAAATTTTTATGTGCTCAGCCAAGTAACCACGTGGGTTCTCTGTATGCTCCACCCTTCCCACACGGCCTGCTAGGGGTGGTCCTTTGAGATAGTGGTTTCCTCAAACCACATATATCCACGATGAACTCCTGCTGTGTAGCCACAGGATGGGGAAGGTGCTGGAATCTACTCTCCAGCCCAGCTGAAGCCCCTTGATTTCCACTTACAGGTTTATAATTCCCTCACTCATGGCAGTCTACAAGTTGGGCCATCTTCTGAAAATGATCCTTTAAAACAGTGATCCTCGGGAGTTCCCTGGTGGCCTAGTGGTTAGGATTCTGGGCGTTCACTGCCATGGTTCATTCCCTGGTCGGGGAACTGAGATCCCGCAAGCCATGCGGCGAGGCCAAAAACAAACAAAAAAAACAAAACAAAACAGTGATCCTCAAAGTGTGGTCCCCAGACTAGCATCTTGCCCTCATCTGGGAACTTATTAGAAATGCAAATTATCAGCCCTACTTGAAACCCATGGAATCAGAAAGTCTGGGGGTGGGGTTCAGGGCTTTGAATTTAACAAGCCCTCCAGGAGATTCTGGGGCCTGCTTAAGTTTGGGAACCACTGCTTCAGAATTTCCCATTAGTCTAGAGTTGGTGCATTTGCTTGTAGCTCTGCATGAGCCCTGCTCCCTCACAAGGAGCTCCACCTGTCTAAACTGGAATGGGAGGTACAGGTTCTAGAATTGACCCTCCCTGCCTTTGAGGGCTTGACCTTTGCAATATTATTTCAGCTTAAACATCTCATAAAACTCATGCTGGTCTTGAAATTTAAAGTACTTCTTTCTCTGAAGTAAACAAAAGATAAACCTCAGCCCAGCTCCTGCACAGATAATCCTTTATTCTTAATATGCAAGTCTAAATTAATGTTCGGTGTTTTACAGACAATTCTGTAACCTCCCCAGACAGATGACTCAGAGAAGAGGCAGAAAGCATCAGGCACTGGGCCCATCATTTTCTTTTTTCTTGCTGTTGGGCTTCATTTCCATTTCTTGTTAACATCTTTTGCAATTAGTGACCACAAGCTCTCTACCAATGCCCCCTGACTCTGCACCTCCCTGTTTCCCAGACAAGCCCATGGCGGCTGCAACAAATCATCTCCTTTGTTCTGTAGACACCACTGCCCTTCCCAAGTCTGTGCCACCGGGGTCTCTTTAAAGTTGCAGGTGCCTAATGTCTTTAAGGGATAAGATTGCACTTGAAAAGTACCCCAGGTGTGGGAATAGCGGGAAGTCTGGGAGAGCAGGCTAGACAACAAGTGCACCGGGACAAGGG